AGGTCCATCCAATGAAAATCCTATGCAGGAGACTCCACAAATGTGTCCATCTGTGATTGCCTGCAGAACGAATGACCATGCTGAATTCAGCAATGGCCCATGGTCAGTGCAGAAGTTGAACTGCAGAATTGTATTCTGAACTTTGACCTTCACAACTGGCAATGTCACTGGACATCCTGAGTACATGGTTCAATATACTGTCATGAAGCATTGATACATCCACCACCTTGCTTGTTCCTATTTATGCTTTTCTGAAAACCTGTGCCTGTGAAAATAAGCCTTTCTCCACTATCAAAACCACCTGTATATTTCCTAACACTCAAATATATTGGACATAGAATCCATGCAAAGATCTCAATAGCCTGATAGCAATGGCCCTGAAGTGCAGTGAATTTATTCTATACTAGGCTATTCTGTTGAATACATGCTGTGATACACTTGCCGGGAATAACATATGGAATAGAACAGAAATTGCATGTGAGCATAAACAAATGACAGAACAATCTAATGATGTGCTGATTCATATAGTACAGCATACTTTTAGTAAGGCAAACAATGAAAGTGTGGATTACAGGATTCACAGAAACTGTCTGTACTTTCTATTCAATACTTTTGAAAAGCTAATGGAGATATGAAAAAATGTGTCTTTGTGGTGAGAATATCAAATTTGCTAATGAGGTTGACCCTGGTTTATTTATTTTAGTAGTCAGGGAAATACATAGAATATTATCACTTATTTTTATACTCTATCAGTGTCTATTAATTGTAGAAGTTACATTTGGACAATTCTACATGTATATGCAATTTGCTCTGATCTGATTTAAACTCTTCGTGACAGTCTCACCCACTCCTTTCCTTATTAAATGAATTTCAGCAGATTTCAGTTTCCATTTTCATACACATATAGTAAGTACATTGCTTTTGGTTCACTGCCTTCAGTGTCTCGATTCACTGCCCTTGCATCTGTACATAATGCCCAGAACTGGATAGGATGTCAATTACACTCCTGTCCTTCATTTTAATGTATAATAACTGTTAGAATGGAGTCACTGTGTATTTCACACCTAATTATTTCTACATATTACTTCCTCTTTCCTCATCTCTCCAGCTACCTTCAGCCACATATGCACTTTGTTATTACACATCTTTTATAATTTGATCATCTCCTCCCCTTCCTCGTAAACGTTTCAAAGAGTCCCGTAATTACACAAATGTCTATTTATGTGTATGTGTTCCTTAAGTAAATATATATGTTGTCTTTAGGTCTGTTGTCCACATTTTAGAAAATGCATGTGACCTCTGTCTTTTGTTTTTGTTTTTTTGTCAGTCGCGGGGCTTGAACTCTGGGTGTGGACGTTGTCCCTGTTCTCTTCAGCTCAAGAATAGTGCTCTACCGCTTGAGCCACAGCGCCACTTCTGGTTTTCTATTGGTTTATTGGAGATAAGAGTCTCACCGACTTTCCTGCCCTGGCTGCCTTCGAACCGCGATCTTCAGATCTCAGCCTCCTGAATAGCTAGGATTACAGGCGTGAGCTACTAATGCCTGGCTGACCTTTGTCTTTCTAAACCTGGCTTACTTCACTTAACATGATACTCAACAATTTTCTGCATTACAATACCAAAAAATATTTTGTTCTGATTGTGAATATTTTAGAAAGCATTTGAATTGTTTCCATATTTTGTGAATATTTCTGTAGTATACTTGAGTGTGCAATGTGACAACTGTACCTCCACTTAAATTATTTCGTATATACAATTTAGGATGATATAACTGGCTGGCATAGGAGATCTACTTTTAGTTCTTTGGGGAAACTCCATTCTGATTTCCATAATGGTGGCATGTATTTACATTCCCATAAATAGTGAATAAGGATTTGCTTCCCACACATTTTAACCAGCATTTTCTGTTATGTGTTTCTTCATGATAGTCATTCTGACTGGAGTGAGATAAAATTCAAGGTCATTTTGGTTTGCCTTTGCTTCATGGCCACAGATGTAGAGTATTTCTTCATGTATTTATTGGCCCTTTTGATTTCTTATTGAAAAGAATCTTTAAATTTGTTTGCCAAATTGTTAATTGGGTTTTTTATTCTTTAGGAGTTTAGTTTCCCAAGCTTCCTATTTATTCAATTTATTCATTGTATTTTGAATGTACTGTGTAGGCCAACTTTTTAGTTAATACCTTTTAACTTTCCAGTGTGAAGACTTCTAGGTTGATACAATCCCATCTGTCAAATTTTGTTCTTATTTATTGAACTACTGATGTTTTATTCAAGAAGTTACTATCAAAGGTTCAATTTTTCCTTCATCTTTACTAGTTTCAACACTTCATGTTTGAATTAAGATCTGGAGATGGAAAAAGAATGAAAAGTCACATTGTAGTAATCCTAAGAGAGCTGCCTATAATGTCCAGAAGAAGATGGCATAATTGTGGTCATAAAGGGAGAAGTTTTGATGCCACTGAGTGGAGATGATGCCCTTGTGGACACACTTGTTGGGTCTTTGCAGGCATTGGGATCAAGGCAAGCTCCATGTAGCCCTCAGCACCTTTCACTATTCCACAAATGGAAGCTTCTAAGGTAGAAACATTTTTCCATTCCATGTATTGAAGAATTAATAGTATATTAACAGAACTAGAGTTGACACATTCTTCACATACACTGATATGCAATCGAGTACATGTCTGTCAAGTAATGAGAAGAAACAGGGAATAAATTTATATATGATCTCAATAACCTGTGGAGAGAATTGCATTTCCTAGCATCATTCCACCCATAGTTTGCAGAACAAAAGACTGCCTGTTTGACCTAAAGATCCCTGAGAGTTGTATCCAGGCATTCCATAAGTGAAATTGTCTTGTGGGAATTGTAGAGTCCCTGAAATTTTCTCACTTAGTATAAAATATATTCCACACATTTCTTATATGCTTATGAAAAATGTGCTTCATTTTAAAATAATTTTTAATGTGAAAATACTGTACAGAGGGGTTACAATTACATAAGCAAGGTAATGAGTACAATTCTTTTTTTAAATTTTTTTTATTATGAGAACACTGTCCTGAGAATTTACAATTACATAGGCAAGGTAATGAGTACATTTCTTTTTTAATTTTTATTTTTTATTGTGAAAATACTGTACAGAAGGGTTACAATTACATTGGCAAGATAATGAGTACATTTCTTATCAAGCATTGTAGCCTCCTCCTTTGTTGCCCCTTCCCATCCCATGAGTCCATTTCTTATCCAGCATTGTTGCCTCCTCCTTTGTTTCCCCCTACCATCCCTGCCCTAAATGCCCACCACCTTCCACCCCACACCCCACCAAAGTTATAAATTTTGTTTTTTTACATAAGGTCTTGCACATCTCATTGTTGCAATGGGTCCACCTGTATCTCTATTTAAACAATTTGTTTTTTCCCTTCCCCTCCACAAATCAAATCAAATACCAACATCAAATACAGTGAAAATAGGGGTTATACCATGGGGGGAGGGACATACAAAGCAACAAAGAAATCATCTTATAAATATGTTAAAAACAAAAGCAAGCAAGAAAAACCATTTGAGTCCTTATTTTGGGGTTCATTTTGCCTAACACTAACTTATCTGACCATTTCTGCTTGTCTCAGACATATACTAGTTATTTCAAATAAGGGAAACCATGATGGATGGGATGTGGACAGAAGGGAGCCCTACTACATTGTTGGTGGGAGCGTAAACTTGTTCAAACACTTTGGAAAGTAGTATGGAGGTTCCTCAAAAGACTCCTCATAGAGCTCCCCTATGACCCAGCAATCTCACTTTTGGGCATTTACCTGAATGATCACAAACAAGAACCATCTTAAAGCTCTAACACAACTATGTTTACTGCAGCATTATTTACCATAGCTCAGATATGGAACCAACACAGATGCCCCTCAGTAGATGAAAGGATGAAGAAAATGTGACATATATACACAATGGAAATCTATGCCTCCATCAGAAAGAATGACATTGCCCCATTTGTTAGGAAATGGAAAGACTTGGAAAAAATTATATTAAGTGAAGAACAGCTATAATTTTGGGCTTTACTACCACTATAGAAATGAGTAAGATTCACATATTCATTGAAATGAGTCTCACAACATAAACTAATAAAAGATTAGAAAAGAAGTGTGGCTTTAGTTTAGATCTTCTAGGCATTTGACCAAACCCCTGAGTTTTTGTTTTTTTTTTTTTATTTGAAAACATACTGTACAGAGGGGTTACAATTACATGGGCAGGAAAATGCATACATTTCTTACCAAGCATTGCAGCCTCCTCCTTTGTTTACCCTTCACCTCCCTTCCCAGCCTCCCCCCTCCCCCCCACCCAATCATACCCCCCCCTCCCTCCCCCCCACCGACATTGTAAAGCTGGTTTTGACATGACATTTTGTACTTCTCATTGTTGCAACAGGTCCACCTGAATCCTTAAACGACTTGTTTGTCCCCGTCTCCTCCACATGTTATACTGACATCAAATATAGTGAAAGCGGGGGTTACACTGTGGGGGAGGGACATACAAAGCAACAAAGAAATAATATTATAAATGCGTTAGAAACACATGCATGAATGAAACAAAAACATTAAAATACATATTTGAGGGTTCGTTTTCCTAACATCACATTCTCTGACTTTTTCCGCTTGACTCATACCTATACTAGATATTGCAAATAAGGGAAACCATGGGACCTATGTTTCTTTGGGCCTGGCTTACTTCACTTAATATAATTTTTTCCAAGCCTTTCCATTTCCTAACAAATGGGGCAATGTCATTCTTTCTGATGGAGGCATAGAATTCCATTGTGTATATATACCACATCTTCTTGATCCATTCATCTACTGAGGGGCATCTGGGTTGGTTCCATATCTTAGCTATGGTAAATAATGCTGCAATAAACATAGTTGTGGTGGTAGCTTTAGTGTGGCCTTGTTTGTGGTCATTTGGGTAAATGCCCAAAAGTGCAAACCCCTGAGTTTTATTTTAAGAAGGCTCATTTCTCCCAGTATGCATTTTGCCCTTGAAGCTATGGAGAGAATTTCTATCTGGCCTTAACAGGATGATGTAACACTTGGGGGCAAAAATACAGCCCAGGAACCCTGCACTGGAGGACAAGATGGAGAAGACCTCCACAGCCACCATGATCTTCCCCTTGGCACTGTGGTAGACAGGCAAGAAAGTGACCCAGACACTACAGAACACCAACATGCTGAAGGTCAGGAACTTGGCCTCATTGAATGTGTCAGGCAGGTTTCTGGCTAGGTAAGCTACAGTAAAGCTGGTCAAGGCAAGGAAAACCAGGTATCCCAAGACACAGTAGAAAGCAGTAAGGGAGCCCTTGTTGCACAGAATGATGACATGGCCATGTTCAGAGTGTGCATCTGTGTCAACAAAGGGAGGAGAGGTTCCAAGCCAGAGTCCACAGAGAGTCACCTGGATGAGGGTGCAGATGGGAATGATGAAGTTAGGAGCCCCTGAAACCAGCAGCCATCTCATCCTTTTCCCTGGAGAAGTGGCCTTGAAGGCCAGAACCACAGTCACCGTTTTGGCCAGCACTGTGGAAACAGCCACAGTGAACACAACTCCAAATGTGATCTGCTGCAGGATACAACTGACAGTATTGGGATGGCCAATAAAGAGCAAGGAACAGAGGAAACAGAAGATGAGGGAGATAAGCAGGATGTAACTGAGAGCCAGGTTATTGGCTTTAACAATGGGAGTGTCTTGATATTTCACAAAAACCCCAAGAATAAGAGCAGTGAATGTGGACAAGCAAAGGGCCATGCAGACCAGGCCCATGCCCAAGGGTTCATCATGAGCCAGGAAACTTGCAGCTTTTGGAAGGCACTGGGTTCTCTTTTTGTTGGCATACTGATGATCTGGACACTTCATACACTGCTCCATATCTAGTGAGAATGCAGAATTACCATTTTTCTCTTTTCAGCACTTCCTTTTACTCAATGGAAATTAAGAAATCTCTGCTTAGAGGTAAATCAAACATATGAGTTCTTAGTATCATAAAGGTACATACTATCAAATAATATAAGAAACTGCTTTTTGTCTCTTTTCCGTAACTCCATCATCATTCTCATATTCCCTTTTTTCAGTCTTATTTTCTTATTCACTGCTTCTTAGGTGGGAAATAAATTAATTATATGTTTCTAAAAGTTCATTTATTTATCATAAAATCTAAGCAACATCTGTTATAGTATTCTAATATTCTGGCCAAAAACCTGAAAACACAATTAATTCATATGACATTTTCTTTTGTTCTGACTGATTTCCACACATATTAGAAATAAGACATTTTTGTTCATTTTAATGAACTAACAATAATTTTCTGACTTCCTCATCTGTCTGTAATATAAATTCTCAGCAATGTGCACACAAGTCTGCAACTGCCATTCAAAATTGTGACTAATATAGCTTGCATTTCACCATGTGTTTGTTTGAAACATTAATAGGAACCCAGTGGTACATTCTTGAATTCATCTTATGACGCAGTGGGACCAGACAATCAAGGCCCTCTTTAAAGCTCTAAAGTCATGATATGCACAACACTTGTGTATAATAGTTAAACAAAACTCAGTTTTCTAAGCACTTTCTCTATAGCAATAACAGTTCTGGGAAGATAAATTAAGATGTACAGGATTTATGCATCCTTTGTGCCACAAATGTAATTTGGAAGATCATGGACATTCGGCATTTAATAAGAATTTATACTTAACCTTAATGGAGAAGTTTCATGGACTCTACACATTCACTGAATACAAAGGAGAATATGCATAGAGTGGCTGAAAAAGGCTCAGAACTATATGCATATGATCTATAAAACCATATCTTATGAAATGAACTCCAAAAAATAAAAAAAGAGTTATTGTTTATTTGCCATTGTGGCTGTTTTTGCTTTCTTTTCCTTTTGGATTTTTTAGTCTGAATTTGGATAGGTAACAGGGGACACAGAAAAGGTAAAAAAAGAGTGAACAAATTGAACAGTGGTACTTACTAGATACTATATAGAAATGAACTGTACAACTTGTTGATGGGGGATGGGATAGAAAAAACTGGGAGAGAGTGCGAGAAGGTGAGACATGGTTCAAAAAGTGTTGTACTCATTACCTAATTCATGTATCTGTAACCCTTCTGTAAATCTACTCTACAATAACAATAAAAAATTTTCAAAATCCATTTCTATTTTTTTTTATGAAAATACCGTACAGAGGGGTTACAATTACATGGGCAAGGTAATGAATACATTTCTTTTTTTTTTTTTTTGGTGGGGGGGGGGGGAAGGAGTCCGTTCGTGGGGCCTGAACTCTGGGACTAGGTGTTGTCCCTCAGCTCTTCAGCTCAAGGCTAGCATTCTACCACTTGAGCAACAGCGCCACCTCTGGCTTTTTTCTTTTTGCTTATGTGGTGCTGAGGAATTGAACCCAGGGCCTCATGCATGCAAGGCAAGTGCTCTACCATTGAGCCACCTTCCCAGGCTAAGAGTACATTTCTTATCAAGCATTGTTGCCTCCCCTCTTGTTTCCCCTTCTGATCCCTTCCCATTTCCCGTACCCTCAGTGAGCTGCCCACACAGCCCCACCCTCTGCCAAAGTTGTAAAGTTTGTTTTTCAACATAACATCTTGTACATCTAATTGTTGCAATGGGTCAACCTGTATCCCTATTTAAACAATTTGTTTTTTCCCTTCCCATCCATGAATTATACTAACATCAAATACAGTGAAAACAGAAGTTATATCGTGGGGGAGGGACATATAAAGCAACAAAGAAATCATCTTATAAATATGTTAGAAACAATTGCAAGAAAGAAAAACCATTTGAATCCTTATCTTAGAGTTCTTTTTGTCTAACATTAACTTATCAAAACTCATTTCTCGAGATAAACGTGTAAAATGTCCCAGAAAAATTAAATCTGATGCATAATTTAAGGTCCACTAGTTGTATTATTTCAAGGAACAATATCAATTGCTATCATTAAATTATTCAAAGAAGGAAGATTTTGGGTCTCTAATACAAATACAAAACCTTTCCAGGGACTTGGATACATTACAGAATACTGGGAAGATAGAGAATTTCATCATTAATCAGAGACTTACCTGTTCTATTAGAAATCTCATTGTCTAGGCAAGGGGTACAATCAAAGCAACAGACAGTCTTTCCTCCCTGAAATGATTTCCTGAATCCAGGAACACAACTCTCACTGCAAACAGAGTGAGGAGTCTAAGGAAAAGCAAATATTACTTCGTCATTATTCAGAATAATACCTGACATTAAAAAAACCAGTGTTCTTAATAATTTGAATATTAACCATAATTATTTTACATGCTTAAAGCCAATCCATTGATTGGATAGTATTTGACATTTTATAACACAATCCCAAAAACTTTTGAGCTATAGCTTTGACCTTCAGCCTATGCCACTACTGAGAATTGTGGAACCTTTAGCAATTGTGGTTCCTAATTGTAAGACATCCATAGCCAACTTCCAGAAACTTCCTTGAATTCATAGCATAAATTTTCTCCTACTGCTTTGTGAAATATAGAAATATGGAAACAAGAATAAAATACTCTTGAAAAGTTTAACAACATGCTAGGCCCCAGGACCATCATATCTTCCTATTTGTTTTCCAACTGTCAGGAGTTCACATTATTAGATCATTAGAGAGCACAATGGACATAATATCTAGGGGTTCTTTTTGCTTACTATATTGAGTTCTAATGTTTGTGTTCCCTTGAACCCACCTCAGTAGCTCCTATGGCCCACTCTATCATATCTTTAGATACAGACAGTTGATGATCATAAGGAGCATATGGAGAAAACTTCCCAATTTTCACCTTGAGTTCAAGACCTTCTGGAAAATTCCAAATATTTAAAATGTCATACTCTGCCTCTAATTTCCTTTCCTCATCCAAAATCACTTGGTCTCCAGCGAGATTGTAAAATTGGATGTTCTTCAGAAAATGGTGCATCTAAAAGAGATACATTATCCCATGGTGAACAGAATCTAAGAGCTGAAACAGAAATCCTGAATTCAGCCAAGTCTCTCAATCTCTTTAATCCTTACTTCATAATTCAATATCAACACACATATCCAATGAAGTTTAACAGAAGAATACTTTAGGAGAATAAAAGAATAGGGGAACAAAATATCATGTTTCTGAATTCTGATTACTACAATGAATTTTTTCAAGAGAAACCACTCCACATAAACAGTCATGAATGAGACAAATCTCAAACGCCTAGGAGTTTGGCAGGACTGAGAATTTTATGAATATCCTAGAAATTTTTGTTAGCTAAATAGATGATACTAAAATGGAATAAATCAGGTCATTTATTTTTGTGCACATTTAATGACATTGCTTTTTTAAAATTTTTGTCAGTTGTGAGATTGAAACTCAGAGTGCTGTTCCTGAGCTTGTTCGATGAAGGCTACCACTCTACCACTTTGAGCCATAAAGCCACTTCTGGTTTTCTGGTGGTGAATTGGAGATAGGAGTCTCAGAGACACCCTTGTAATCCTAGCTACTCAGAAGGCTGAGATCTGAGGATCACGGTTCAAAGCCAGCCCCTATAGGAAATTCTGTGAGACTCTTATCTCCAATAAAACACTAGAAAACCAGAAGCTGTGGCTCAAGCAGTAGAGAGCCAGCCTTGAGCTGAAGAGTGCAGGGACAGCTTCCAAGCCCAGAGTTCAAAACCCACGACTGACAAAAAAAATCTCAGGGACTTTCCTGCACAGACTGGTTTCCAACAGTGATTCTCAGATCTCAACCTCCTGCGCAGCTAGGAGTATAGGCAGGAAACATTGGCACTCAGTTTAGTTAAGTTATTAATGTTTAATATGTGGAATTTATCTATGAAGTTTTTACTATTATCTTTATGTATCATAAAAAGGTCTTAAAATTTTACAAGTCAGTTTGTAAGAACAAAGCATTTCAATGCCACCCCTTCATCATTATTCCTCATCTTCCCCAACATCACCCATCCCTTAAGTTACTGTCTTAGAAACAATGTCATTTGAATAACTGGGTACATAAAGAACAGATCATCCTTTGCTATTAAGAAACTTCTAGTGAAAAAGTTGATAGTAAAATTATTAACTGTGAGCTTATTGTGGTAATTTGTAATACAGGAATTGATGGCAGTATAAAACACATTTCCTCTTTCAACTTTTAATCTTTTCTTTAAGAACACATGAACATGTGTTTGTGATGTTAACAAATATTACTATTCCACAATACTGTGAAATATGTGAAAGTTATGTAATCATCTAATCTCAATTTTAAAAAATGTGAGAGAAAGGATGGGTTAGGAACGATGGGTGACAATGTTGTGAGACAGCTTGTATTCATATGCAATTTTGTAGAATGGGAATTTCTTTGTACAACTACTTAAGGATAATAATAATAATAATATGTTTAAAAAAACAAATGAACGGAGGCCTGGAGTAACCTTACAAATATTTTAGAAAGTACTTTATGATGGGCCTTTGGAAAAAAATTGAACCTGTTCAGATTTACTCTCATTTTGATCTGTCTAATCCAAGAGAGAAGGCATTACCTGTGCAGGAGAAGGCACCATCCATCTCCCATTAACCATTGTTGCTTCTTCTGTTTGATGAAGAAGCATCTCATGAAGAGCATGGGCCACAGCATATACAGCATTGTATGTATTATAACTCTCTTCAGACATGGACATGTCAAAAATTTGCCCAGGCAACCATTCCAAGGAAGAATCATCTGGACAGTTCTTCCACAGTACACAGTCAGACTCAAAATGGGAGCAGTTAAAAAAGAGAAACCATAGCCTAGCAAGATAAAAGTCTTCTGGGTACTTGGAAGGATTGACTTCCCTGATAAAATCTGTGAATCCAGATATATCTCCATGGTGACGTGACAACATAAGAGGTACATGGAATGAACCTGACATGAAATACTTCCTTCCAATGGATAAATCACACTTTGAGTTCAAGAGCCAAACTTTGCTTGTCATTAAAAATTGCCCAAGAAATATCATTAAGATTAGCAGATATTCTTTATTACCATAAATGATAAGTACATTTGCTGATGATTTATTAATCTGGTTCTGAATTGCCATCATATCAAATACTTGTGCCAGACTACTGCCTGGGATCACATACTCAAAGGCTATACAGATTCTGTTCTTGTACATCTTTTCTCTCAGTTCTGCAAGGATCCATAAACCATTCTCATCTTCTGAGATCAATAGCCCCACCCAGTTCCAGCTGAAATGAAGCAGTAAGGAGACCATGGCAATAGCTAGTGATGTGTCTTTTGGGGGCATTTGATAGAGAGAAGGAAACTTGCCATGATCACTCAGGACATGATCAAAAGCCCCAAAGGTAAGCTAATGGGAAAGAAAATTGTAGGCTCACATGTAAGAAATTTCCTATACATCACAACCTCAGTCTTGATTTATATATGTCAAAAAAATGAACTTTACAACTTTCACACAGAGGGGTGGGGGAGTGAGGGGGAAATGGGAAGGAATGGTAAGGGGAAACATAAATGGAGGCAACAATGCTTGATAAGAAATGTACTCATTACCTTGCTCATGTAATTGTATCCCCTGTGTACGACATTTTAACAATTTAAAATAAAGTGGAAAAAAAGGAACAGGTTGAATTGAGTGGTAGGATTGGTCCAAGTTTTGGAAGTTTTTTTAAAAATTAGATTGTAAACTATTTTTAAACCAATGTACAAAGATTTTTCAATTCAACATGTCAATTATATCTACAATGCCTACTGATCAGTACCATCATTTCTATTATTCTTTCCATCTGTATAGCAATACAACACATTCCCTTGTTTCTTTGTTTGATTTTTACATATATTCTTCAATATTCTGTCTGTATTTGCCATCATTCCTCTATTTTTCTAACACTCCACCATCCTTTTAACATCATAACACCTCACACATGACATCTTTAATTTCCTAGTTGTAAAGTCCAGAGTAGTTACACCATGGAAATTCACTTTTATGTATACCATAATTTTGTCAGGTTAATCATGTATGAGTGCTTAGGTCACCTATGCATTTTCATATATCCTTTGTATTATATTTTTTAATTTTAAAACCAACTTCCACAAAGGAGAGAAAATGCATCCTTTTTGCTTTAATATGCTTGACTTTATTCACTCAATAACGTCACATGTTTTAGTTATTTCCCACTTCCTGATTGCTTTCTACAAAATTATTCAACAAGCCCTAGGCTCATAGTCATCCTTTGGATTTCTCCTACTTCTCCATCCTCTCTTGAACAATGAGAGTCTGGGTAACACAGTATGTTGGAGTACTTAGCTTTTGATATTATAAAATTGGATAGGCTGTTATGTTATGTCTTTCCTATCCTTCTCTTATAACATCTCAAAATGGAACCAAAGCAGACATCTTTACACATTCCTCCCTTCTTCACCTGTGGAAATCTGTAGAGTTCCAGCAATGTTCCAATTTCCGCAGATGTCATTCCTGATGTTCCTGCAAGTACTGCTACAAAATTTCTTTCTGCCATGCAGGTGTAGTTAGGGATCTTCTTGTGGCCAGAAAGCCAAATAAAAGGATTCTCAAAGGCAGACCAAGCTTTCAAATCAGCATTATAAATATCAAATCCCAAAGTCATGTTGTGTAAAAAATCGGAGTTCTTATTGATTTCCTCAACAGCAAAAGCCAAGGCCAGGACAAGCTGATAGTACTTGAAAACAAACCTGCACAGGAGACATAAGAAATTCATCAAGAATAATCCAAAACTTCTTCAAATCAATGCAATGACGTTGGTGGAGTCAATGTTTATTTCTCTACAAATTAAATATGTTGAAAAGTTACACCTTTTATGAGGTATTAGTAATTTGATGTGCATATAAAATTCCACAGAGCTTGATTTTTCTGTCTTTCATAGTTACCATACCAAAAAAGGATATCATACATTAACCATCTTCTTGAGATACCAAATATTCTTTGGTTTTAATGTTTGGGTAACTAGCACCATCTGTAAAAAAAATAATAAGTCTTTTTTATATAGTTTTCTGAAAGACCATTATAATTTAAATAATGTCTCAGTTTAAGATTAACTTTCAGAAGCAGAGCAAGGTGTTATATTAGGTGTTGTATGGTTTTCCTTTCAGACACACTCTTTCTACATTAGCTACCAAAAAAAAAGCGGAAACCTCAGAAGAGATCCTGATTCTGAGGTATGTTAAAAAGCAAATGCAATGCTTTAAAAATGCAACAGAAAGTGGTTTCCCATGTTATTCTCTCCTCCACTACACTCCAAGAAACTCCTCAGGTAGAGATAAGCCTCCAAATTGGGGGATGGGAAGAAAGTTGTAACAAAATATAGCCGTAGGCTGAAATCACTGCTTCAAAGCCACCATGGTGAAATTCAGTGCTGGGAAATGCCTTGATGATGACTACTTTCTTCACAAAACATGGTGATTGAGATATTGAAAAGGAAAGGTTACTGGAAGTAAAAGAATCAAAGATATCTCCCCTTCTCAGTCCTGGTAGGAAAGACTAGGACACCCTTATCTTCAATTAACCTACAAACACAAAAAAGATGTGGAGATATGGCTCAAGTGATAAAGTACCAACCTTCAGCAAAAAAAAACTAAGGCCCTGAGTTCAAATTCAGGCACAAATATTAATAGCTCTTATGTGAAAGAATAAATCAAAAGTAAAAATGTAAGTGTGAAAGCAAGAAAGAATCTATGAAGGATATTAGAAATTGGCAATTATGTCTCTGGACACATCTATAATGCTATTACTCAGAAGGCTGAGATTTGAGAATCACAGTTGGAAGCAAGCCCAGGACAGTAAAGCCAAGAGACTCTTATCTTCAGTTAACAACTAAAACTCCCAAGTGGAGCTGATGCTCAATGGTAAGAGCAGTAGCCTTGAGTGTAATCCTAGCCAGTCTGAAGGCTGAGATCTGAAGAGTGCTTTCAAAGCCAGGCTGGGCAGGAAATCCCTGTGACTCTTTATCTACCAAAAAAGGCAGATGAAGAGCTGATGCTCTTGTGGTAGAATGCTAGCTTTGAGACAAAGAGACTCAAGAACAGCCCTCAAGCCCCAAGTTTAAGCACCAGGACCCAAAAAGAAAGAGAGAAAGACTGAAGTATTTAAAAAGCAAATATTAGTTCCGCAAGTGATCAACAAATGGTTGAGTACAGTAAAATTCTTGTTCAAGTAAATAATACAGAATATAAATTCTTAATATAGACAAAAATACAAATAGCCATGTTTATCCAAATATCCTTGGCATTAATGCCTCACTTGTTTAAGCTTCAGGAGGCTGAGATATCAGGATTAGATTTCAAAGCCAGCCTTAGTAGAAAAGTGCATGAGATTTTTTTTGGGGGGGGTCCATTTGTGGGACTTGAACTCTGGGCCAGGTCGCTGTCCTCAGCTCTTTAGCTAAAGGCTAGCGCTCTACCACTTGAGCCACAGCACCACTTCCAGCTTTTTTTTTGCTTATGTGGAATCGAACCCAGGGCCTCATGCATGCAAGGCAAGCACTCAATCACTGAGCCATCTTCCCAGCCCCGAGATTTTTATCTCCAATTAACTAGCAAACCACTGGTAGTGGAGTTGTGACTCTAATGGTAGAGTACTATCATTGTGCAAACTATCTCAGGGACAGCATCCAAGCTCTGAGTTCAAGTCCCATGACAGACAAAAAAAAAACTTAGGAAGATCAAAAGTTAATTGAACTCTCCACCATCTCATATTCAACAAAGTTCTGGAAAATACACATAGAAGTTTATCATCTATAAATGAAAAGGAACTCATAAAATATGTGTGCCCCTGTTTCCCTAACAACTTACTTCTCAATAAAATTCACACAAACAAGGATGTTAGGACAGGAGATCTTTACAGTGCTGCAGGTCACAATATAAAATATCCACCAAGTGTACTGTATTTAGCAAAGTTATCCTGTAAGAGCAGAGAAATCAAGATATTTCCTGTCAAATAAGGTTAAAAAAATATATATCAAGGGAGGAAGATGGCAGAGGAGAAGCTGGAGCTAAACAAGCTCTTGTATAGAAAGCAATTTTAGTGTTCCAGTGAACAATCCTAGGCTAGAGAATCACACCATGTGTGCCATCATAGTATAGAGAGTTTGGCCAGAGTGGGAAAATCCAGGCAAGGAGACATATCTGAGCACTTGCTGGTAGCTGCCAATATGGCAGCAGCAGTGGCTGCGGCAGGGGACATAGACACCATACCAACAGAGAGAGTCCAGGACAAAAGCACCAGACTGGGCAGGCGAGTGAATTCTACTCAACACCAGCAAGAACTGACAAGGAGCAGATAGCTTTATCCTGCAGATCGCAGACCAGAGACGGTCCAGGAAGCAAGACTCTGGCTTGAGTAGAGCCCTGACATCCTTACTCCTCAGGGAGCTGAGGAGCGAAGACCACCCCTCTCCTACCACTGGAAATCTCCATCTTTGATACTGACAAAGGCCCTGCTGAGCAGCTAGCTCCAACATAGGCCTAGGAGGAAAACAAAAGAATCATTTAGCAGGTCACAGGAACCTGGCCTGATCTGCCAGGCTCAGCTTCACCCAGGGGAAAGTCATCCCGCCCAGGCAGAGAAAGATCTGCCCCCAGAGGAGGGGCTTTCTTCACTGGGTTAACAGAGCCAGAGGCTGCCCCTCCCTACAGCAGCCTAGACAATCAATTGAAATTCAGTAAACATAACCCCTGAGAATGGCTCCAGGCTGGGCTCTGAGAATGTCTCAGGAGCTAGCTCCTCAAGGAAAAGCTACTGTTTGCTGAAAGGCCTCACCCCTACCCAGAACCTAGCCTCATCACAGCATCTCCAAACTAGAGGAAACAACCATCCCCCTCTTTTGTGATACTCAAAGCAGATCTCCCTCCAACTGAACTAGCACAGGAGGAAGATCACAAAACCCTGAGTAACACAGGGCATTTTTCTGCCTGCTCAAACAAACTGACTGAAGAAACCAATCAAGCCACAAGAAAAGCAAACACCACAAGCAGACCAGAGACTCCACCAAGAAACTGGTTAGGGACACAGGGGAGATACAGGATCTTCCCATTCCCCCTCCCCCCCCCAAAAAAAATCAAAGAACTCTCTTTTCTACCTTTTTATAAAAAATTTTAAAATTGTTTTCTACTATGCTTTTTTTTCTCTCATAATTTTTATTTTGTGTGTGTGTGTGTGTGTGCGCGCGCACGTGCGTGCTTTTTTTAAAATCTCTTTTGACTTTTTGGTACTTTTTATTATTCTTGTCATTTTTTTCTGTTTCCTACTTTTTTGGGTGTCTTAATTACTGTTCTGCCCATCCTCATCATCCATTATTAGACCTTATCCCCCGTTGTGTACATACTTAATCCAGAAATTTATTACTCAATTCACCTACTTTTAGGCTTAACTTCTTTCATAACAGTATTGTCTCTTTATACTTATATAATTTTAAAGTAACCAATTTTAAGAATTTTTAGTTTTTAGGTTTTCATGTTTCCTATCTATCCCTCTGCTCCATACTTCTTTTCCTTTTTCTTCTCTCATTATCATTTCTTTATATTTACATAATTTTAAAATGCTTCACTTTTTAAATTTAAATTTTTGTTTTTCCATTTTTCTTATTTTTTTTAATCTCTCTCCTATCATTCTGCACAATCCATTTTCCTCTTTGAGATTAGGACCTGGTTAAATTCACTCTTACCTCCACACATCCCTCTAATCCTATTTTTCCCCACATTTCTCCCTAAACCTAATAATTTCTGGCTTTCCAAATCCTTCTTTGCTATTCTTAGCCCATTAATGCATAGTTGACATTGAATAAATTGTATCTGTTGAACTAGATTGTATCTGCAGCCATTTTGACTGTGCAACTACAAGATTCTGGTTGATGCTTGCCTTAAAGTAGTATTCTAACACAAAATTGGAGTTACTTTCATACAAAAGGCAGAACAAGCTGAAAAGTAAACAAGAAAAATGGCAAGTCCAGGTATCTCAAGTCCCACTCATGTTAATCAGGTGACAGAACAGTTCATGAATAATCCAGGGAGAGTTCTCAAAAAGCTCTACAAACACTACTGATAAACATGGTGAATGAAGATTGAAAACCTGCAAAGGACTCAGTGTGAGCATGATAGGGAGTGAGAGGAGGCAAACCAAAGGTTAATACAGGAACCTCTTAAATATGAGGAAGCTACTCAAAGATTAATGCAGGACTTGCATGAGCAGGTGGAAAACAGTCAAAGAAAAATAAAAGAATTGCAAGAGCAGAGTGAGAACAGTCAAAGAGAAAGACAGGAATTGCTTGAACGTGAGGAAGCTAATCAAAGGGTAATACAGGAATTGCGAGAGAGGGATGAGAATAGACAAAGATCAATAGAGGCATTCATGGCATCCATAAACACATAGCTGAAAGAATTCATGGAGACCACAAAGGGAATGCTGAATGGAGCCCGACAGAAGGAATAGGAGTCCAAGGAAATCATAACCAATCAACTAAGTGATTTGAGAATAAACACTGAACACCAAATTAAGTAAAGAAGTTTATACAAGATCTAAAACAAAGCTCCACAAAGAATTTGAAGTAATCAAAGCCAACCAATTAGAAGGAAAAGAAATAAAAATCAAAGTAGAAAGTCTTGATAATAGGTTAGACCATGCAGAAGATCGAATTTCGGGGATTGAAGACAGCCTAGATATTATAGAGAAAAACCATACA